TTCATGGACCCAGGGGCTTCACTTGGAATCTCAGAAACCATGAAGGGTCTCCCTTCCCTTTCCCTCTCTTTTCTATCCCCATTTTCCATAAAAATCCCTCGGGATGGATCCTGAGTGTCCCAAATCCCAGAATCCTGGACCAGTTTGGGTGGGAAGGGACCTCAAAGCTCATTCCAGGGACACCTGCCATGATCTCAGGGTGCTCCAGTCCTTCCTGGGACATCCCAGGGATCCAGGGGCAGCCCCAGCTGCTCTGGCAATCCCAGCCCAGCCAGGAATTCCTCATTCCCAAATCCAATTGAAACCTCTCCTCTTTTAGTGTAGAACCACTCCCTTTTTCTGTGTTTTTTTTTCCATGTAAAAAGCCTCTCTCCATCTCCCTCATAGCCCCTTTTAAATCCTGGAAACCCAACTGAACCTAAAAGCCTCCAGATTTTCCTAATTCCTACCCAATCCTTTTAAAGTCTCTAAAAACATAAACCTCACTCACAGCCTACTCAAAACTCCCTCTGAGATCAGAATAATCCTGCCCAGGACAGTTTTGATGAAGTTAAATGTGATCTGAGTGGATTTCTTAAATAAATCCCAGAATTCCAGCCACCAACAGTTGAAAATCACTGAATGTTTACAAGAGACACATTTGCAGCTGAACCTGTTGTCCCCATTTTTTTAAAAAAAACCCCAAGAATTTAAGATCATTCTGAGTGGTCTTGAGCTGAAGTAACTCCATGTGTTAATTAATTAAAACTCCCCTTTAAATTATTAAAGAAGGAATCATTAAACAGTTGCAATGACATCATTCAAAGAGGCAAGTTTTGATGAGGTAAAATGAAGAGTTTTTACGTGCTGTAAAGAACAGTGGAAAAGAAATAAGGCAATGGAAGTGGTGTTATTAATGTTAATAATAACCTCATCATTAGAGAGTTTCCTGTCTGCTGCAATTGAGGTACCTTTAAATCTCAGCCTGAACACAGGCAGAAAAAGATTTGAATTAAATCCTCTTGCAAGGAGGGAAAAATGACAGAAAATGTTCCACTGCTGCTTTATATTTTTGTTTTCTTAGATTATCTTTTTTTCCCACATGTCTTTGATGTCAAAGTGATTCGTGAATTGATTTTTCTCTTCAGTTAACGATGCTGGGAGATCAATATGAAAATGATTGTGAATATTTGGTTTGGCATTCAGAATTCAAAAGAGTTGGATGGTGCCATTGTATTTCCAGCACAGAAAATGATGCTGCATAACAAAATCCACTTTTTAACAGAGCTCTTGCAGTTCTGCCTCGCAGGGAGTTTCCAGCTGAGAGCTCAGAAGAATCTGTGCTCACAAAATTGGGCTGAGAGATATTAACAACCCCCCCCGAGGCCTGGTGGTGTAAATAAAAATCCTCTGGAATAATCGAGGTGGAAAATCTGCAAATTCATCCCTGCCTGGCCCAGCCAGGGGAGCACTGTAAATTCTCACGTGTGAGAGCACTAAAGTGGGAGCTGAGTGAAGAGGAAGCCACCTCAGATATGAAACCAGGAATCAACGTGGAAAACACCAAAAGGAAAGATCTCAGCTTTTCTACTATTCATTTCTTGCAGTGCCGGAGGATTTTTGGAGCCCTTCAAGGAACTGAGTGTTAAAAAAAATGAAAATATTCTGTGCTGTTAAAAGAATTGAGCTCAGTGTGGTACCTGGTTATTCTCCAGGTTGATCACCTCCAGCAGGTCGTGTCCCTCCAAGCCTTGCAGACTCTTGATTTTATTGTTGGACAGATCCACCCTCCGCAGAGATTTCAAACCCTTCAGCCCATCCACCTTCTCAATCTGGTTAAAGCTCTAGGAAAAAGAAGGAAAGCAGAGAAACTGCAAATAAACCTCCACGAAAAATAAAATTCCCGAGGGGGAAAAAAAAAAGAGTTATTTGTTGGATTTGAGGATTTTTTTTGTCAGGGAGAAACCTGTAAAAAATAGACATTTATGCATTAGCCTCATGCACATCCTGATGTGTTGCATTCCTGCTGATAAACCTCTATGGAAAACAACATTCCTGAGGGGAAAAATGAAGTTATTTGTTGGATTTGAGGATCCTTTCTCATGGAGAATCCTGTCACAGATAGCCTCATGCACATCCTGATATGTCACATTCCTCCTCATGGAAAAAGGGAATCAACTCTCTCTTGATCACCTTGAAGAGGGAACAGCAACAAAAAGAGCTCGAACATTTTTTAAAAGCTGATATTGGCCCAAGAATGCTCTTGTCACCATCCAGCTCAAAATTTAGAACACAGAGATGCATGGAAAATTATGGACTATATATACATAAATACATTGAATTTCCCTCTGTAATCATGGCTCTATTTACACTTGTGATTACAGAATAAATAATGGGAAAATTAAGGTAGGATGGAGAGGAGACAGGCTGAGGGTTGGGAATGTTCCCCTGGAGAAGGGAAGGATCCAGGGAGAGCTTCCAGCACATTCCAGGGGCTCCAGGAGAGCTGCAGAGGGACTGGGGACAAGGATGGAGGGACAGGACCCAGGGAATGGCTCCCACTGCCAGAGGGCAGCCAGGGATGGGATTTGGGAATGAGGAATTCCTGGCTGGGCTGGGATTGCCAGAGCAGCTGGGGCTGCCCCTGGATCCTGGAATGTCCAAGGAAAGGCTGGAGCAGCCTGGGATGGTGGGATTGGAATGGGATGGGATTTGAGGTCCCTTCCCACCCAAACCATTCCAGGATTCTGGGATCAAGGAGGCTCAGAATCCATCTGATGGATTTTTATGGAAGTTGGGGATGGAAAAGGGAAGGGAGACCCTTCCTGGAGTCCTGAGATTCCCAGTGAAACCCCCGGATCCCAAAATTCCTTCCTGGAGCAGAGTCGGGGTGGGGATGGATCCAATGCCAGGCTGGGAGAGCTGGGAATGGAGGGAATTCCCTGGGAAAGGGAGCTTGGGGTGGGATTTTGGGAATGAGGAATTCCTGGCTGGGCTGGGATTGCCAGAGCAGCTGGGGCTGGATCCTGGAATGTCCCAGGCCAGGCTGGACATGGGGACAGTGGGAGGTGTCCCTGCCATGGTAGGGGTGGCACTGGGTGGGATTTCAGGTCCCTTCCAACCCAAACCATTCCATGATTCCCTGATTCTCCGATTACCAAAACCTCTCTGGAATCCATAAATCTGTATTAACGCACATCAAGCGAAGGCTCCATTCCCTGCCAGCAACAGCACAGAAATGTTCAAAATAATTTAAAAAACCCAATTTTCCCGTAAATCCTTCCGGACTTTCCCACACGAAACGCCCCAAAGTTTTGGGAAGTTTTTCCAAGTGGCCTCCGGATGGTTTCGTTCCTCAGGGCCTCACCCATCAGAAACCCATTGCTGCCACAAACTCCAAGCAGGAATAACAAATCCCTGCTCATCCCTGGCCCACACATTCCCTGATGGTTTCTCCGCGGGATTCTTCCTCCGTAACCTTGGGAATTTTATTTTCCCGTCAGCCTCACCTTGTGCTAAAAGCTTGGAAGCCTCATCTCCGATTAATAAATATTTAGGAACTGTAGAAATAAATAAACCAGCTGACTCTCGTGTTAATCCACTTGCCTGTCCTTGACATTTTTCCTGACTTTTAAATGTTTAATTAGGTTATTAATAGCATGGATGCTGCTCCCGAGCTTCGTTAGACCGCTGGTTAATCAGGTACAGAAAATATGTATATATGTAAATACATTCTATATATTATTCATTTATATAACAAAGATATATTATACATTATGTATAATATGGGCATTATATGCATTCTATATATTATATGCATTCTATGTATGATATACATTCTATATATTATATGCATTCTATATACTATATACATTCTATATAATGTATCACTAGATATAATATAGATTAAATATATCTATTCTATATAATAGATATTTTATATATATTATTAGCTTATAATAATTTTTAAACAAATTAAGTATATTGTAATAATTTTAATAATTTATAATAATTTTAAAATTATATTTTAATACTATTTTTAAGTAAATATAGTAAATATTGCTAATATGTTATGTGTTTATATATTTATTTATATTATCAATATCATTCTATGGACAACAGAGATTTGGGGATAGATCCTTTAAAAGTAGAAAATTCCAAAGGGTCCAGATCATTAGAGCTGTGCTTCTTATTTATCTTTTTTTTTTTCTTTCCATACATGAGTGGAATAAAGGGATTTTTGGTACAGCAAGGGAGAATTGACAGGTTTTGAAATCTTCCTCCCAAACTTCAGAACTTTCTACTCTTTTCAACCTAAAAAGCTCAAGGGGAGAGAAAGCAGAATCACTGGGAGGAGAGGGGACAAAAATAACAACAATAAAATGAAGTGCATTTTATTCTAATTAATTCTAAGTTTTTAAAGAAAATGCTCGGATAAAATCTCTTTCCATAAATTTCCACGTGGCTAATTAAAAATGATATCATCACCTAAGAACCCCAAATGAGGAACAGGTTCATATTTAATAAGATTTAATTATTTCCCAATTTTGGACACAGCAGATTCCCAAGGGAATTCCTGTTAAGTTCTTTAAAAAACCAGGAAATCAAGGCAATAACGGTGGAGGGACTTGCTGTGGATGAAATTTGGAGAGAAAAAGCTTCAAAATATTTAGAAAAAAGATCCTTAGAGTCCTGGAGATCCTTTGAGGACATTTTGATGGGATTTGGCCAATGTGAGTTAATAAAAATGAGACAAAATCCAATTTATTGCCACTCAGAGCTGCTGGAGGTATCATATAATACCATCTATAATACCATTATACGATCATATATTAAATACTATATATTTCATATAAAATGAATTATAATTTTATTAACATTATTTGAATATATTATTCAAAACAGGTGAAATGTGAACACCTCCCCTGAATAGTGCAGCAGCCAAAGGCCAATCCGAGTTGGGATTTTCTGTATTTTACAGAAAAAAAAAACCTTTAAATTTTTTTTTAAAAGGATTGGAAAAGAATATTTTTATTCCTGATAAGGGATTTGTTCACTTCAAATATTGACGTGGGTGCTTAAAATTAACGTAGCCAATAGGAGATCTGTATGGGATTTTTGGGAATTATTGTTAAAGTCCAATTAAATATTTAACTTTTTCTCACCAAATAAAAGCGGTTTCAAAGCAGCCTGTTGCCTTTGGAGCCTCTGGATTGCATTAAAAACAGGTTTGGGTTGTGTTCCTGTGCAACATTTGTATTAATAATTGAAAAAATTTTATAGTATTGCAGCTGTTTCTGATAATCTGTAATGTAATTATTTTCATGCTTATTATATTTATAAAAATATTATAAGAATATATATAATATATTTAACATAATGATATTGATAATATAAATAAATATAGAACATATTAGTATATTTATTACATTTACTTAAAATTGTATTAAAGTATAATTTAAAAATTATTATAAATTATTAAAAATTATTAGAATCTATTTAATTTATGAAAAATTATTATAAGCTAATAATATAGAGAATATCTATTATGTATAATAGATATAATAGGTATAATATTTCTTATATATTATATAGAGAGATATATAGAGAATGTATAGATATATAGAGAGAATGTATATAATATATAGAATGCACATCATATATGGAATGTATATAATGTAGAAAATATACAGAATGTATAATATATCAATATTATATAAATAAATAATAGATAGAATGTATAAACATATATATAAATATTTATATTTAATATATAAATATAAGATCTATATAATATATAATATATAATATATAATATATAATATATAATATATATTTATGTATATTATATATAGAGATATATAGAATGCATATAATTTATAGAATGCATATGATGTATATATTATATATAATGTATCATATATCTAATTTATATACATAGATAATACATATAATGTATATACATATATAGAAATATTTATATTTCATATATATAATTATAAGATCTAGTCTATATTCTATATAATAGATATAACATATATAATAGACATAATAGATATAATAATATATATAATATATATTATATATATTATATATTATAGAATATATGTAATATTATATATACAATGATACATGTTAAATATTATATCCATTTTATCTAATATAATAGATATAATATTTAATATATATTGTAAACAGATATATATAGAATGTATATAAAATATAGACTACATATAATGTATATATTCTATATAAGGTATAATATATCTACTTTATAGAAATAGATAATACATATAATGTATACATATATAGAAATATTTATATTTAATATATAAATATCACATCTATTTTATATAATAGATATAATAGGTATTATATTAATATCTATTATATATCTAGATATACAGAATGTATAAAATATATAGAAAGCATGTAATATACAGAATGCTTATACTGTATGTATTATGTCTAATATAGCTACATTATATAAATAGATAACATATAATGTATATATACATATATATTTTATATAAAATATAAAATAAAAAAATATATAATATACATAAAGTATATAATCATATATTATAAAAAAGTATATAATATTATAAATACAAAGTATATACTTATATATTATAAAAAATTATATAAAGTATATAATTATATATCATAAAAAAGCATATAACTATATAATTATAAAGTATATAATTATATACTTATAAAGTATACAGTTATATATTATAAAAAGTATATAATTGTACAATTATAAAGTACATTATTATATATTATAAAAATTATATCATGATATAATTATAAAGTATATAATTATATGTTACAAAAAAGGATATCATTATATAATTATATAGTATATAATTATATATTATAAAAAAGGATATAATTATATAAAGGACATAATTATGTGTTATAAAAAGTATATAATTATAAGTTATATAACTATATATTATAAAAAGTCTATAATTATATTATTATATATTATAAAAAGTCTATACTTATATAATTATAAAGGACACAATTATATATTATAAAAAGTATATAATTATAAAGTATATAATTATATATTATAAAAAAGGTTATAATTATATATTATAAAAAGTCTATACTTATATAATTATAAAGTACACAATTATATATTATAAAGAGTATATACTTATATAATTATAAAGTATATAATTATATATTATAAAAAGGTATATAATTATATAATTATAAAGGACATACATATATATTATAAAATGTATATGATTATAAATTATATAACTATATATTTTAAAAAGTACGTAAATATATTATTAATTATATATTATAAAAAGTATATAATTATACAATTATAAAGTATACAATTATATATTATAAAACAGGATGCAATTATAAAGTACACACTTATATATTATAAAACAGGACACAATTATAAAGTACACACTTATATATTATAAAGAGTATATACTTATATAATTATAAAATATATAATTATATATGATAAAAAATATATAATTATACAATTATAAAGTACACAATTATATATTATAAAAAAGGACACAATTATAAAGTACACAACTACATATTATAAAGCGTATATACTTATATAATTATAAAGTATATAATTATATATTATTAAAAGGTATATAATTATATAATTATAAAGGACATAATTATATATTATAAAATGTATATGATTATAAATTATATAACAATATATTTTAAAAGTATATAAATATATTATTATATATTATAAAAAGTATATAATTATACAATTATAAAGTATACAATTATATATTATAAAACAGGACACAATTATAAAGTACACCCTTATATATTATAAAGAGTATATGCTTATATAATTATAAAGTATATAATTATATATTATAAAAAGTATATAATTATATAATTATAAAGTACACAATTATATATTATAAAACCGGACACAATTATAAAGTACACCCTTATATATTATAAAGAGTATATACTTATATAATTATAAAGTATATAATTATATATTATGAAAAGTATATAATTATACTATTAGAAAGTATACAATTATATGTTATAAACCAGGACACAATTATAAAGTACACCCTTATATATTATAAAGAGTATATACTTATATAATTATAAAGTATATAATTATATATGATAAAAAGTATATAATTATACAAAGTACACAATTATATATTATAAGCCAGGACACAATTATAAAGTACACCCTTATATATTATAAAGAGTATATACTTATATAATTATAAAGTATTATATATGATAAAAAGTATATAATTATATATGATAAAAAGTATATAATTATACAATTATAAAGTACACCCGTATACATTATAAAGAGTATATAAAGTATATTATCATACATGATAAGCCGCCTATAGCAATGTAACTCCACAGCGGCAGTGGCCCATTAACAAATGGCGCCCTGGCCCTCCCGTGCCCGATAATCGAGCAGAACGTGTCGGCGCCCCTCACCATGGCCCATTAACAAATGGCGCCCTGGCCCTCCCGTGCCCG